GAATCTGCCTTGTTGTGTCTACATTAAAAGTAATTATTGGAATCCTCGTCGTCCTGCCTGCCTCCACACACCGAAACCGTGACATAACCATTCTTATCTCTTCTGGGAATGCACACACACAATTTTGTTCTGGAAGGATTTCTCTGTCCTTGTAAGTGCATTTTCATCACAGAGTTTTTCTTTATTACACAGTATAAAGGTGTTTTATTTGGTCATCACAACTTTGATAAAGATGTTAAGGACCCATGTTTTTGGAGAAACTTTTTTTTTTTTTTTTCCAGTCAAATCCATCCTGTCTTGACATTCTCCATACAGAAACTCCAAAGCCCTTCACACCTTCACGCCATTTTTATGTTTTCCTGATTTTGTAACCTGTAATTTAATTTTCAATTACAGGCATTAGTTTTGTAAATTCTTAGTTAATAATTACTACAAAGCTGGCACGGAGGTATAATTACAAAAGTCACTATCTGACTTATTTATTTCTGAAGTAAGTCAGCTCCAGGTCTGTGACGCACCGTGTGTGTAATATATTTCAGTGAATTCTTCACTTTATTTTGTTCACTCCTTGTTGATATATTGCACTCAACTTCCGTGCACTATGGAAATTAGAGAATCAGTGAACAAGTGAGCGATTTCTGGCACAGCAACAGAGTCAACAACGTGTGCTGGAGTCGACCCTGACTTCAGGGCTATTTAAGGCATGACATTTCGGTTTGTGGGTGTGAAGAGACTACAGGTTTTGTGACCGCTTCACAAACTGAATAAAGCCTACATTAAAATTACTATATTTCAAATAATATTGCCAAATAATATCGCTACAGTAAACTGACAGTGGGTGAGAGCTGCCACTATAAAGTCCAACTATATTGGCTATGTTGTAATGTAGCCTATGAATGCTTTAAAAATACTGGTTTCATTTTATAATGTGAAAAAAAAAAGTTCGTCACGCATGCTTTATTAGTGCTGGGATATTTTTATTGTGTGCTATAAACAGATCAGAGGAGACACTGTGTGGCCGCAATCAAATATGAAAAATTAAGTGAAATAAAGCACAGATGTCATTAACTGTGAAAGAAGGATTACCAGACCAACTCTAATCATCTGTCATACATTTGTCATGAAATTGTTTTTAATTGTAAAAACTCCATACACTAATACAAGATTAAGTATTACGTAAAAAGAAATAGAGATGACTACATCAGAAGACTAAACAATGTTTTGAAAGGTCAGTGCAGGGTCGGCGCCAGAGCGCACAAAGTGAGGGGGCAGGCACAATTTATTGGGGGGGCTGCTTTGAAAAAAAAAAGTTTTCTGAAAGTAATTTTCAGATGCAACGGGGGGAAAAACGGGATAAACACAAACATGAAACTTGTAAATAAAATAATCTGATATATAGCCTATGTACAATTTAATAACATAGGTGAGGGGGCACAGTGACCGAGGTGGCCGGGCCGGGCCCCCTCAGGCCCCCCCCGTGGCGCCGACGCTGGGTCAGTGACAGTAAATCATCTTTCTGAATGGAACACGATCATTTCATTGACACTTTATGAGATTAGATGACATTAGTGGACATACATATTGCAGACATCAATGAAAGTGCATGCTTTGATAAATACAAACCCTGCTTACCATTAATAAAAACGATTGTTTTCAGACTATTAGTATTAAATGATAAATTAGTCATTTATAGCTTATAAAATTCATAAACCTTAATAAAATAATCACACATACAGCATGGCATGTTTTTTTTTCTTTTCATTTATTACTTACTTTTTTTTTGCAATGATCTTTACTAAGATATAAGTGCTTTATTGCTTTTTGGCTCAAAAAAGTGTTTGATTGGAGTGTTTTGAATTGCAAAAAACAAAGAACTAAATAAACATTATTTTTCTTACACTATGAACCTTATCAGTGTGCAAAACTACCCTGTACTCTCTTGTAAATGTTGCAAAGTTATTTTAGTAGTCCTTTCATCTTCCATCCATCCATTCGTCTAAATATATCAACACCCTTTTATTTAAGATTATTTGATCCACCCTATAAAAATCTACATACACTTACAACAACAGTTTCAATGAAACCATATTAAATGCTCTGATACAGATTCACTCTCTGTCCTACACATTTCCATTATCTTCTGATTCATGCTGATATTTAAGCCTTTCTTATCACAAATAAGTGAAATATCCTATATAGTACCAACACACAAGAATACTCATTCACACACAAGCATGCACACCCCTCACATCCATATCTCTCTTCTTAAGGCTAGTTCACACTCCCAGCTTCTTATCCTCCGGGACGATCATTTAACCAAACCTACACGGCCAGATCACCTGGTCTGACTCGGTTACTACTAGTACCACTAGTCTTGCTAAGTCGGCGCTTGTCTTTGAAGCAGCCTGGTTGGGAGGATGGTGTGGAGGGGGCACTGGGTGTCATCTCACCCGGTACTCGAGCCTCAGGGCTCTCGTAGCTCATCTGCAGGAAGTCCACAGCCGGCTCAAGATCATCGTGGCTGTGATGATGCCGCTCGGTGGCCATGTTGACGGAGTTCTGCTGGTGGGCCAGGCGGTTGGTGAAGGGCTGGCAGGTTTTGTGGATGTGATGAAGATGGTGGTGATGAAGATGCGGGGGTGATGTTGGACCTTGGCTTGATGCTAGGCACTGGTTGAAATCTGGGGGTGGGGTGCAGGTTTGGGAGGGATGTGGCTGAGCCATCTCAGGCAGATCCATTGGAATACTTGTCTTGCTGTGTAGGACTATAGAACCAACTTTGGTGTTTTTGCCATTGACATCATTGGCGTGTTTGTCAGCATATTTTCGAAGGCATTGCTTGCACTGTTTCCATCCAAGGTGGTACAGTTCTAGTACGCTCAGAAGCAGTGAAACAGCCGCCACCACCAGCATAAACACAATAAAGATGTTTTTCTCAGTTGGACGGGACATGTAACAATTCACACGGTTGGGACAAGGTGACATGTTACAAGGATACAGAGCATTCAGGAAGATTCCATACAACATGTACTGGATAACAATGAAGGTCACTTCCATGACCAAGCGGATCACAATACTCAGGACGTACGTCTGCAGCAGCGCCCCCTTTAGGTGGATCTTTGTCTTTGTATCTTCGGCTTTCTCTTTCCGTTCCAAATATTGCTTCTCTCCTTTGTCCTCATCACCCTTCTCCTCCTGCTCCTTCCATTTCCGCTTCTCCTCCATGCGGACGATGTGCATGGCATGGCCCATGTAGATGAGTGACGGTGTTGATACGAAGACGATCTGTAGCACCCAGTAGCGGATATGGGCAATGGGGAAAGCTCGGTCATAACAGACATTGGTGCAACCGGGTTGTAGTGTGTCACACATGAAGTCAGACTGCTCGTCGCCCCACGACGATTCTGCCGCTGTGCCCAGCACCAGGATACGGAAGATGAACAGCACGGTCAACCACACCTTCCCCACTGATGTGGAGTGCTCCTGCACCTCCTCCAGAAAATTACCCAAAAGACTCCAGTCCCCCATCACTGCACGCCAATGCTAAGAGAGAGCAAAAAAGAAAAAACGACATTGATATTGACCCATGAAATGGTGTCCTGGTATTAACATTTAAAGCTGTTTTAAATTATTTATGGATAAGTATTCCTGCTGAAAATATGATGACAAGGGAGGCTGAGTCTCCTCAAAAAATGCATTTCGAAGGAACATAACAACGAAGTTGATAAAGTTTACTTTCGTTTAAATCAGTTAGCCCACAAATAAAATCCAGAAGCACATGGTTACTATTATTATTATTATTATGCACATGGTCGACCAGTCGAGTTTAACAGTTTTTTTTTTCAACTGCTTACACACATTTTCAAAACTTTGCCTCTTTTTTCCAAAACTTTACACACAAATCCAAGAATTGCACACACAAAATGCAAAATGCCTCACATATCTTGCAAAATGAAGCACTGCATTCAAAATAGCACAAACACATCTCAAACGCAAACATTTGCAAACACCTTTGCCATAATATTAATTCAAACACCTTTGCCATAATATTAATTCCTGTTAAATGTTTGTGTTACATAGCCTACAGAATTGTGTGTTGCGTTTTGCAAAAAGTGCTTTATGAAATTGAAAACTGAGTCAAAGGCCGAGAATTAGCGTATGGTTTTGCAGATTTGGTGTGTGGTTTTGGTGATTGTCAGGTTTCAGAAATTGTGTGACAAGAAAAGTTTTTGTGTGTACTAAGCGGATGAAAAAAAACTGTAATCCATGCACTTATAAACTGACCAATCAGAATGGATATTCAAATGACAGCGTTGTTTGCTTCCATACAAAATGCTACCGAGAAAGGCACGAGGATATAGTGAAATGTGTCTCTTTCCAAGGAAATCATGCTTTTTATTATTTACAAGTAATGTTATTTTAAATCCTGCCCTCCAAAAGTTTTTGTTAAATATTGTTTATTCCCTCTAGGAAATGTATTTATTTATTTTTCTTTTGTTAAAACGGTTTAGACATGGTTATATTGCTCGTATATTTGTTATTCACTAAATTAAAAAAAAGAATTTGTTTCTCTCCACATAACTAATCAAAGTGAGCGGTAACCATACAGGCCAATCAACTGTTAGAATAATTGTATTGCGTCATCAAGCCTAATGTGTTTATCAGGTGGAGAGAAATTTTAGTCGGATTAGTCAAAATGGATGAAGTCCAAATTAATGAGGAATCTGAAACCACAATCAAGTGAGACTGAACGACAGGGATGTACATTTCCCGCAGTGACTGAGTGAAGAATGGAGTTCTTCAAAGCATATGTGAGTAGATGTTTGATGGAATGGGGCTCTCCATTCATGATATCTAAATGTTTAGTCTGTAGATGGCGCTGCTCTGTTGGTTTACGATATTGTTAAGTCATGTTGCTAGTTTTTTTAATTCGCTTTGGTACCACACACACACACACAGACGGACAGGTAGTCCTATCATTATTGTGACATTCCATAGGAGTAATGGGTTTTATAGCATAATGTACAAACTGTATTTTCTATGCCCCTACACTAACCCTACTCCTAAACCTACCCTTACAAAAAATATGTTATTTATCATAGACATTTTGTCCCTATAACATAGGGTTTACCTGAACCACACACACATGTACAAAATAGTGGTTATCATCTAAGATAAATCACTTATAGTGCAAAAAATAATTCATTACAATTGATTGTCCCTAAATTGCAAACAAGTTCTTTAGAAACTACAGGCTATCTATTGAATCTATATCTATAGATATCTATAGCTGCACCAAATGAGTCACTGATTGACCATTAAGATGAGTTAGATTAAATAATAGACAAGTGTATGAAACTGAATGAGAAGACATGCAAATGAAAAGTTTGATAGAGCGTTATGAAAAGCAGTTACTGTAAATGAAACATTTATATAGATGAAACAATTATTTTGTGTAGTGAAAAGGATACTTTGTGATTGTGTGTATTGTACTAAGACAATTGCAAATATGCTGAAATGTTTGAAAAAAGTGCACTTTTGATGATCTGTTGTGATATTAGTACTAAGAGTTTTGAAAATGTAACAGTTGCTTGTGAAAATAGTACCAAAGCGAATAAAAAAAAACTGTAATTGGAGAGATTATAATGCGGCATTCATTAATCAATACTTTTTTTTAATATATCAAAGGGATATCATTTGTGTATGTGTGCATCAAAAATAATGCAGTAATGCAATGCAGTCTTCCCTCACGGGTCTACAAGTGTCACCCCCACAAATTGCTAAACCCAAAACTTACACATTACGTTTCCTTTCTTCAAATGGTAACTGAACAAAAGGCATCATAATAACTAAAGTAGTGTTATTATAGCCTAACTAAATAAAGTAAAAAAATAAATTAAAAAAAACTTTTTATTATGTATTATTGTTATTCAATATTAGATATTAGCCTATATATAGGCTAAGTCTTAATTTCAGTTGTAAAGGTCTGCAAACACTGAAAATAATTTTTTCCCATTTTTTGCGAATCACTTGTAAAAGAGTATTGTGTATATGTATGGCTGACCACCATATTTTTGTTTTAATTAAACCTAATTAAGTACATCTTATTCCTAATTTATCTGATTTTTTTAACATTTGAAAAATGTCTAAATTGTCAATGCATTAGATAAAAATATGCTGAACTTTTTCTCATTTTCTAAGCCATTTTTATAACTACTTTTAATAATCTGTCAATGTGTCAAGATGTCAATGTGATCAGGTGCTTTATAGCAGAGTAACCCCAGGTGTGGTTCATCACATTTAGCCTACTACGTACGAACATGATCCACTGTCCAAGTTTGACAAAAAGTGTCCAAATGCTTTTTTTTGTCTTTCTTTTGAATTATATTGTTATCTATTGGTATATTATTCAAAACCTAACAAACTTCTTTTTGTAAAAAGTGTGCTTGCTGTCAAATGCAATGACACTGCATCTAGAAAGACTGTTCTTGTGATCCACTTAAACATTTTCAGAGGTTTCACATGCTGTGTATCATGTATTGTATATTTACAGTAGGGCATGAGAGGGGACCACTGTTCTAATTTTAGTCCGGCCTGCCCCATTTTTTGGGGTAGGATGGGAACAGTGGTCTTGGCAGGGCAAGGTGATGCCAAGGGCCCTGAGAACTGCCACTCTGAATGACCCTGTCCAGGCCTAGATAGGGCGATCATTTTACCACAATACAGATGTCTGCCAACTACATCACGTGTGCCAGCATTTGTGCTTCTGTTTTTGTTTCTGTATGAGTGATGAAGCTATTAGGATGCTGCATGGACTAACTGAACTTCTCAACACAGAGACAAAGCAAACAACATGAAGGGGTCAGTGTTACAAGTTCAGACAAATGTGCCAGGCTGAGAAACCAGACCAGTTTTTTGTCACTTTTTTTTTTTTATATTTAAAATCTGTGTGTATATATATATATATATATATATATATATATATATATATATCAAAACATCTTCTTTTACCATTAAATTTTTCTTAAGCTATTTTTCACCATTCACTTTTAATAAAAAAGTATATTTTTTTTAGATATTTTGGGAGCACAAAAATTAAAACTTGCCTAAATAGATGCTTTTTATAGTACTGTATATTCTATATTGCTTAAATGAAGTAAATACTCTCTGTAAAGTTTCCTCTCTGTTTCTCTAAAAGGTGTCAAACATGAGCTCAGGTGTATTAATCTTAGACACTAACATTAACACTGTCCAGTGTTGCTCTGCTTCCCAAAATAACATCAGTGAGCACTGCCTCATTTCCGTAAATGTCAGTCCAGCCACGTCAATCTCCCTTTAAATAAATCACTCATTCCGTAAAGCATCTTGTTTATCTCTTAAATGATTAGTTAATTCTAAATTAAATTGATACAATTGATCTAACAGCTTAAAAGGTGTAAAAACAATGAGAACGTGTGTTATGTGTCTTTAGCTCTGACACACACATTGATCTTTTCTTAGGGTCTGCATGTGCCTGTTTTAGTTGTTTTCTTTAGCACCAGTTAAGGTTACCTCGGAAAGGGCTTTCGATTTAATGCTATTTACAGGATGTTGTCACTCGAATACCCATTAAACCTCAAATGTTTTATGAAGCACAACTGCAGCCACACTATAGAGTTACCTTTTAAAGTGTATGGGTCTGTGCCTGCCTGTGCTCTCATACCCATCCTGTACCAAACCCTGTCTTGCTAATCTCCTTGTAGAATGGCCAAATATGGACAGACAGGTTTGAGCAGAGGCCCTCCTACTTTTTGAGCAGATGTAAAATAGTCAAAATGTCTGATTAGTATTTAACTGGAGTTTATAGTTTAAAGAAGCCTATTTTGTTGCACTCACTACTGAATTTTTTTTTGACCATGTTGAATTTTTTTTTTATCTTTTGAGAAAAATATACCTGGAAGTTTATATTCCTTAGTAATTTTTGTTAAATTGTCCCAAATGTATTTGAGACATGAATTTTAACCTGATAAATTTCCTGTGCATGTCAGGTTCTGGTCTTTAAATGAGCTACTAAAGAAAAGGGCAGTGAGCAGCTGACTGAACAATGAAATCTTACTATGTGTTTCATGTGTCAAATCTAATTATGAAAATTTATCAAAGCAAAAAGGAAATTAAATTAGCTGTCTTAAAGGGATAGTTCACCCAAAACTGTCATTAATTACTCACCCTCATGTCGACCTTCATTCATCTTCGGAACACAAATTAAGATATTTTTGATGAAATGCGAGAGCTTTCTGATCCTCCATAGACAGCAAGGGAACTACCACGATCAAGGCCCAGAATGGTAGTAAGGACATCGTTAAAATAGTCCATGTGACAGTGGTTCAACCTTAATTTTATGAAGATATGAGAATACTTTTTGTGTGCAAAGAAAGCAAAAGTAATCACTTTATTCAACAATTTCTTCTCTTCTGTGTCAGAATTCGACACAAGTTCACGTCAGTATCACAACTGCATGCGTGTGCATTCCTCCACTTGCAAACAAGCCACAGTGCATAAGGGCTGTCAAAAAAAATTCGAATTTCGAATATTCGTCGAATTTCAAATAAAAATCCACATTCGAATGCAAAAACGTTGCATTCGAATTTTAGGTGTGCATTAAGGAGGCAGCCTTATCAGTGGCTGATGACGATGTAAGTGTTGCATTCTAATGTTTTTGTTAGCCTATCCAGGTGAAGCCACTAGATGCAGTGCTGCTGCGTAATTCATTAAAAATATTGCGGAAAAAGAGAACATCAGTGCGGAGAAGATCTTGGCTGTGTCCGAAATCGCCCCATATACTCTTAAATAGGGCACTATTTGAGGGGACAGCCAGTTTTATTGGTGTCCGAAACCATAGTGGACATTCTCGAGTGCACTCATTCAATCCCACAATGCACCGCAAAAACGAGTGTACAACTGGGGCAAGTTCAAGCTCAAACCGGTGTGCACCGTTTTGCTACGGTTTCCGGGTTGAACGACATGTTTCCTGGAAACGGTGTGCAACGGGGTTTGAGATACGTTTTATCTTGTTTGGTGGGTGTGTCAAAAATGTCAGCCCAATCAGCAGCAGCATGTATATAAACCACGCGGTATTAAAGAGACAGCTCGCACAATGTAATTAACATCAAAATAAATTTACAAGAGCAAGTATATTGTTTGCACATGTTTATTTACATTAAAGGCAAAATAACTGAAATAATAAGAGCACATGTATAGATCTGGAACTTCCTTAAGTCTGTCTAAATATCATTTAGTAATTGCAATGTCGTCTGGTCCATATCCTTTCCTTAGGAAGGTGTGCTAGACACTGATTAATGTAACATAAAAATTACTATACATATTTATATATTTTGCTATTGCATTGTGGCACTTTCATAAACTTTTCTATACTCCTCCGATTATATAATGGTAAATATTACAATATCATAGCACAACAACAGTGATCAGCAATAATGATAAGCCGAATACATAAACTTTTCTATACTCCTCCGATTATATAATGGTAAATATTACAATAACATAGCACAACAACAGTGATCAGCAATGATGATAAGCCGAATACTCACAATAAAAATAATAAGGTCATATAGATCATAACACAGTCTCGGAGGTAAGAAGTGGTGGCAGAAGTGGCGCAGTTTTGCACACTGTTGTTGTGCAAAACTGCGCATTATCCTTCACCTGAAATGCGAGGCAAATGTTTGATCACAATATTAGGAACCACAGTTTCCACAAATCCCTTCACTCGAATTGGGAAGTTCTCTTTTATCACAATATTAGGAACCACAGTTTCCACAAATCCCTTCACTCGAATTGGGATGTTCTCTTTTATTCTGGATGGCAAGGGAAGTGACTGTTACATCGAGCGTATTTTGCAGTATTAAACACGTATTTATACCGATTTTGTCAGGCTCCGAAAATTCTTCAAAAAGAACACAAAGAATGGCCTTCTCAGCTGCCATAGTTGCAACTCTTGTGTCATCAGAACAGTGTGTTCAACGCACCACCGTTTCCATTTAAAAAACGTTTTGCACCGGTTTGTCGGGGCTGAACGCAGGCCTGGTGCACGCTCAACGGCTAGAGAATACCCATAATGCACTGTGAGAGTCATGTGCCGACTTAATTCCCGCATCTTGCCAGAAGATGACGCTTACAGCTGAATAATCAATCCCTTCATATTACAAAGTGCTCATCCATGGTGTACAGCATAATACAACACAGGTATAAATTCATTGTAAACTGATTATTAAATTGTTTAATTAGGGTTTATACATATTTTCCGTGAGAGAGTTCAAGATAAATTCTTTAATCTTACTACTGGAGCTGCTAGTTTGCCAGTTTCAAATGATTAATAAACAGCAAGCACCAACTATGCAAAAGCGGCAGTCCTTCCGGTGCACTCAGTGTCCGAATTCACTCACTCGTTTTCATTCACTCCTTCTAGGGATCTGAATTAGTGACCTAATGTAGGGAATAGTGAATGAGGGTATAGGGGGCCATTTCGGACACAGCCCTTGTTTACGTCAAAACTGAAACCAAGCCGTTCACACAGAACGCATATTTCGCGCATTTTTTCTTATGCTTTGAATAAACGTGCATTAGTAATATTTTGCTCGATGCACCCTCTTGTGGCCTCAGGAGAGAAGCCAAAAGCTTTTCTTCACCCTAACTGAAATTTTGTGTTTTAAATTCGAATATAATTCAAATTTTGATCGTATTTCAGTACAAAATTCGAATGTAGTTTTTCAGCCATTTTGACAGCCCTACAGTGCATCTGGGTTCTACGTCAGCAGCACCACATGCATGCATTGTGTTACTCTTGTGAATGCGCAGCAGAAATGGACATGGAAGAAAATAAATAGTTGAATAAAAAAATTGTTGAATAAACCTGTGTTTTTGTTTTCTTTGCACACAAAAAGTATTCTCGTAGCTTCATAAAATTTCGGTTGAACCACTGATGTCACATGGACTATTTTAACGATGTCCTTCCTTACTATCTTTGCGGGCCTTGTACGTGGTAGTTGCGTTGCTGTCTATGCAGGGTCAGAAAGCTCTCAGATTTCATCAAAAATATCTTAATTTGTGTTCCGAAGATGGTCGAAGGTCTTACGAGTTTGGAACGAGTCATGAGGGTGAGTAATTAATGACAATTTTCATTTTTGGGTGAACTATCCCTTTGACTCTATGTGCAGCAAAGCACAGGCTTTATGAATAATACTTTCTTCTGGCATATAAAGTGCTAGTTTGTCTTACATAAGGAGTTTCTTTTATACTAGAACATGCACAAATGTGCAGTCTGGTTCCTAAGAAATTCGGCATTTTCTTGTTCAGTTATGATGTTGCTAATGCATGCCTTCTCAAAGGTGTTTTTTATGTGGCAGTGGCACAGTCTCACACCAGATGCTTTGGAAGTGACAGTCAATCAGTGACGGGAACTCAGTAAACTCGTGTGCGTATGTTATGTTGCAAAGGCTGTTCGGAATGGCATTGGTGGGAACGGAATCTTAGACATTCAAAAAAGAAAAAAAAAACTGAATGAGGACGGAAATATCCATCTGATTCACACTGACTGGGCGATCTCTGTTGCCAGTGTGCTCTCTCTTTTTCATTCTCTCTCTCCATTTTCCTTTTTTTTCCATCTTCCTTTTCTTCTTCTCTTAGGAAGCAATTTCAAACAATATGATTTCCTCCAGACTTGCTACTTTAAAGGAAACAAGTCTCTTAGGGTCTACAAGTGCAAGGGTGTTTTCTTTCCCAAACAGAGCAAAAGAACGACACGAGATAAGAGTTCATTTGTGCAGATTATTTTGCACAAAATCATAAAACCACAAAACTCTTATCATGAGGTATTATTAGAGGTCAAAGATCGCTGTATTTCTTGAAGATAGTAAACAATGGGACTTCAGAGCACATACACAGGTTGGAGAGATGAATGACAGGCAGGAAGAACTTTCACCTGCTCTCATATGATTTTCTGTTTGTGAAAGGAAAGAGTTGACATTGGTTATTGACCTTAAAGGGCCTTTAATGTATATACTCACACACTATGGTTAAATTAAGAGGCATTTACCCCTCAATACACAAAACCAATGTATCTTTAATTTGATATTCATATTTATTTATTAATTTATTTTTAATATTTAGCTGTTTTTTGCTTCTGCTAATTACTTAATACATTAATAATGTAATAATAATTTATGTAAACTGTATAGATAGATAGATCTGATTATGGATCAGGATCTGAGAAACTTATCAGAACTCTTCTTAAGCTTCTTTTTAAATTGTTTGTTCGGAATTATCAGAGCTTCCCTTAGCCCTCAAGGATTCTTCGTCTATTTTTTATGACTGTAAGCCACTGTCAAACATTCAATAACAAAAATAAACTTAGAATAACATGCAGCCTCACACTCCCATTTGCATCAGTTTAACAAGCTGGGAACATTGCCACAACACCTTTGAAACATTCTAGTAGCACTTCACAAAGGTGCCAGGCACTGTTGGCAAGTGATGGCATGCTGGTTTTTCTCAAAGTGATCATGTTGCTGCGGGCACACTGATACTCACACCATAAGAGGCTCTGCAATGCCCACGCATGAGACCGACCCCTTAACTCTGAATAAATATTTATTTAAGACCTTTCCACTCAACCTGATATCAGGGACTACCAGAATCAGCATGACACCACAGACTGTAGTCATATCTTTGTCCCAATATACCAGAAGTGTAAACTAGGCAAGACACAAAGACAAACACTGTGGTTATAAGTTTATCCTCTGCAGAATCTGCATGATGTTTATCTTTCTTTTTTTTTTTTCAAATAAGAGGGATCATAAAAATTGCATATATGAATGAATGATGAAGCTATTGCCAGAAATTTACAGTTTAAAAGTTTACAACATTTTTTGTTATCGTTTTTGAAAAAAATAATACTTTTATTCAGCAAGGACACATGAAATTGCTCAAAAAGGACAGTAAAACATTTATAAGGTTAAAAAAAAATTCAGTTTCAAATAAATGCTGTTCTTTTAAACTTTCTATTCATCAAATAAGCCTGAAAAAGCAGAACAACTGTTTTCAACATTAATAATAATAAGAAATATTTCTTGAGCTCAGACTCAGCATATTGGAATAAGAATTAGAAATAATGATTTCTGAAGGATCATGTGACTTTCCATCACAGAAATAAATTTAATTTTTAAATATATTAAAACAGAAAACAGCCACTTTATTGTAATAATATTTCACAATATTACTGTTTTTACTGTATTTTTGATTGATTAAATGCAAAAACATGAAAAAAATTATTATGGAACAAAAACCAATCATAACCTGCCTCTGCGTTTACCTCATTAAATATTCATGTACACTGTGAAGTCAAAATTACTGGACAATTACTGGACAAAGCAAACTCTCATTATTTCCAGTTGAAGTCTAAATGTGTATATGCACTTGTGTTACTAGACTTGAACTTGCATACCAATGCTAAATGCATGCTTTAAAAACAAAGGACAGAACAACTGTTTAAGCCAGGCATTCCAGGACTGACACCGGCCACTTTAATGGATGGAGAGGTCAAGGATGAGTTTAGCCATATGAAGTGAGAATACCCCTCGCCTGACTCGGCCCAGTGCAGAACCCCATTATACAAAGACACCCGCACATATGAACACCTGCCATCCAGTGGGATCCCTCATATGGGTCATGAAGGCAATCCTTTCTATGCTTGTCAGGCTGCTAACAGGGTGATGTGTTTCCTTACATGGTGGTTCTGTTTCTCTCTTCACTGTCAAAGCAACTGTACTGGTCTTATTAATCAAGACAGACACCACTTGACATCACATACAGGGCTTTTGTACTTTGTTATTGGGATATGAAAGATATAGAATATATTTAACATATACAGTGACGACTCTTAAAATGTATTTGGACACTCAAGCCACACTTGTATAAATGTATGAATGCCACTACATTAAGAAACAAAACAGCAAACCAATAAGACCAATAGAATTTTCACTTTTAAAGCAAAATATTCTAGCATCATTTGTTTGTAGTTGCAACTTGGTTTGATATTTAATTTAATTTAACATAAATGCATTTGTAACTGTAGGTTCAGTGGGGCCACTGTATCTAGTTATATAAGTAAAACTAATACACCAATCACAGCACAGGTGATCTAATTCACTTTTCTACTTAAACTAGACTAGACAATCAGTCAGTCATTAAAATAGTCTTTGGCCAAAGTACCATAAAATCATAATCCTTTAGAATGACAAAAGTGATGTCATAATGTGCAAATGAGATTTGATTCAAAATTATTATTTGTGACACTGTAAAAAAAAAAAAGAACATAGAAAGATCTGTACATAAAAAAGTAAATATTAAAATGTAAAAAAAATTCATTAATCAATTTTGAAATATTATAAATATAATTTAAAAATGTTTGAATATTATATAAATAATAAAAGTACCAAATGATCTGTTTATTTTTTTTTATTACAAAATTCTGCACTAAACCTCAAAATAATGGAAATAAATAAAAGAAATAAAGTCTTATTTGACCCACAGATCTCTTAAACAATTAAAGTGATGCATAAGTTAATTACCTGTCTGACTTCTAACTTATGAGGCTGTCTTTGGTTGAGTCTTCTGTGGTCTTGTCCTCTTCAGATGAATGAGTGGGCTGTTATTCTGTGGCCCGGGGGTCCTGTAGATGTAGCCCAGCTCTGGTGTCTGTATGACAGTGGGGATATACTGAGCAATGGAGAAAAATAGCAGTGTAGCTCTATAGAAAACACTCCAGCAATTTCTGGAGTTCATATACAGCACACGCCCCCTTCGTGTGCGTCCCACTGTGGGAATAGAGCACAAGTGTGGGACACTCTGAGAAATACTGGGCCATCTCAGGGAGTGTTTCAAATCCCCCTCCACTCTTCCTTTTCCTCCTCCCCCTCTCTTCCTCCGTCCCTCCCTCCCTCTCTCTCTAGTTGCCTCCCATCCCAATCTACACCACCTCACCCACTCCCCCATCAGAATGCACTTGGTGGCACTCTATTTTGGTGAGAAGAATACCACCGTGTAAAGAGAGGAAGTCAGATTGTAATAGAACACAATGGCTGTTCTTCTCAGGCTGTTTGTTGGTGATGTGATGCGTTGTGCTCGTGTCACTATATGTGTTTGTTGAAGTTTGAAGTTTTACCCCCTGCCCTGATCAATAAACCTTTTCATGCAACAACCACACAAACATATCTGCACCATACATGCACTTCCACATGTAAACCATGACTTCCATTTTAACAAGTAGTTCTCTCTCTCTCTCTCTCTCTCTTTCTCTGTTTCTCTATGTATATATTTATAATTGCATGATGTAATAGCTTTATAGTGCAGTTTTTATTTAGAATGCAAAGGCACACTAGTTCAAATCAAATGAAAATTATTAATATATAAGGGACATTTCAACTAAACCAGATGTCACTGTGTGATATTTTGAACATTTTAAATTTCATATTAAAAAGGAAAAAAAAAAGGTCTTGAGGGTGGGTAAATGACAACAGGGCTTTTTAGATAAAAGTAACAAATAATCGATTGAATGCTTTATTCTACAAATAACCATGCGAATGGGTGATTTCAATCACATCGTTGTAAATACAAATACTTTTTTTTTAACTAAAATCAACTGAAACCGATTATCATTGTATTGTGTTGGTTGTTGTACGTATTGCGGCAATTCGGGCATTAAATGTTCAGCGAATGGCACTTAAAGGTTAATACTCTATTGCATTTAATACTCTATTGCAAAACAATATACCTTTACCACCTACACTAAGCCCTCCGATAAATCAACCAAAAGTGTCTTTTATCATGGCGTGTGTTTCACGGGACTTATTCACAAGCACTCCACCATACCAGGTGAGCTACTGAGCAGGTTTACTACATCAGAAAAGTTATACCCAACTCCGTATGTATGTGATGTAAATGTCAAAACGTATTGATTATCAAATCACACAAAAAGTGTTTTGAGGTCATATTATTATGCAAGGAGCTTCGCGAAAATAAAAGTTTAGTAATTGATACTCTGCCCGGTAATCATAATACGTGGGAAAGAATAAAATATGTTGATGTTTTACTGCCACTAGTTGACATTTCAGCTGAAAGTCTGAAGTGAATTGTGTGTTGATGTTTTTGGAAGTGTAAAATGTAGGTAGAGGCCTAGGTTGGCAAATAGTTATGACAATTAAAGCTGAAGTTATTGGCACCAAACTCACAAAATGGGCATTGAGTTACATAGCAACACTCTGGCAATTACCACAACATCCTAACATTCTGCTTGTAAGTTTAACACTCACATTATCTACAGAAAATATACAAGTGTATTAGTTTTTTCTTCATGAGCTGAACAATATGATGCATCAGAATTCAATGTAGCAACGATGATTCTATCAGTATATATAGGATAATAAAATCTTGTACCTGATTCCCTTTCTCTTCTTCATTCAGGTGTCCTTCTCTCCTTCACACAGTCTTGTTAGGCTACTGTATCCAAGTGAGAATTAAATTTAACCAACTTCACAGAGACTAATTTAAACAGAAGCCTGAGCTATAACCCCTCTCTCTCTTCACTTCTCTTTCATTGCTTCTGCTGCTCATCGACAGAGAAATAGAAAGCAAGGGAAAACAAGCAAAAGGAAAGCTTTCTTGAGAAATCTCTTTTTAAGAACTGCTTACTTTAATACCATAACCATCGTTTCCATTAAAATGGAAAATGGATGAAAATTCCCATCAGGCATCTGTTTTACTATCAAATGTACATGTCATTTCTTATTTGGGCTCATCTAACTCCACACATCACAGAAACGCTCTGTCAATTTGAGTATATAATACATTTACATTTAAGAAATTATGTCAATAATTAAAGGGACTGACACATAAAACAGATGCATTAGATGCACATATTGTGTTCTTCATAAAAAGAAAAAATCAGGACATAAAAGTTAAGACTCGTCCACGCCCTCCTAAAACGTCTCGTTTAAACACGCCCCCACATGTCTTCGTCACTGTGTGGGAAGATTTGCATAACACTGCCCAAATGTATACGCAAAGAAAGAAGGTGTCACTTTTATTCTCGCTGTAGTATTGTTGTTGCCGCCGCCGCCATGTCGTGGAGACGCTGTGTGTTTCATTGTGAAAGCGAAACTACTTTGTTTGGCCTTCCAAAAGAGGACACAACTAGAAATCAGTGGTTAAGTTGTATTTACAACACTGTTCCAGAACAGTTCAACCCAAATATTCAGACATGTGCAGCGCATTTTACGGAGGTTTCCTGGGAGAGTAGCCTACAATGCCGGTGTTCTGACAAATAATGCTGACTCACAGCCTGTAAGTACATTTTCATATTTAAAGGATTTGCCACTGACGATTCTTTCTTTCTGGATTTTTTTTTTGTAATGAATAGAAAGTTAAAAAGAACAACATTTATTTGCAATAGAAATAGTTAATAGTTAGTTCATAAAAATAGATATTTTACCATATTTTTCATTGATGTCCTCACAATTTATACTTAAGTTTTGGAATACTTTTTTATACTGAAATAACTTTGGGGAAAATGGCTGCCTTACAATCTTAAACAAGCATTAAACATGCACAGACAAAATTATGAAGAAAAGAGAGTGCCACGGATGCCTTCAATGCCCTGTTTAAATCCCAGAGCCACCTGTCATCTCTTGACATTTATCTTTTTGCCTAAACTAGAAAAATTAATCCTGGTTTTACAGTATGTGTGTGAAGAGAGGGAAACAGCCAAAATCAACAACTAAACAACTTACATATGCATATTATTTGTCTCGTAACTGAAAATTGTACAACTGCTGTGAAATTACATATACACATTTACACTATTTCCTAATCAAAACAATCATGGATCACATAATTAGAGAACAATTTCCAAACCATATCTCGGATTTTCTATACCTATTCTGAAACACAACAATTTTTTTTCATTACCCTTTATTCTAAATATGCTGGTTATATGATATGCTGAAACATAGCTAAGGCAAAGCAAGGAGAGATGTACAAAGCACTTTTAAAAGCACACTCCACTCCAACAGAAACACCGCAATCAACACTTTCAAAACCAGCCCAGGAAAGAAGGAGATTGACAGACGTTATTTTAAGAGAAAGGAGGAAATTGGACGTGTAGATGCTCTGTTTTTCTGCACTGGAGCTGAAACATGGATTTCGGTGGACAGACACGGCCATTCAGACAAACACAGGAAAGGAGCCACCCTGAGACAGCGACCCCAGACATGTCTAAAAAATGTGTTTCTGTGTAGACTTTGGCTAATTTCATTGTCAGTTCAGCTAATTTAATCAGAGAGTACTCTACAACTATTAAAGAATGGCACAAACAATGCCAAGGTCATGGGTTCAATGCCTAAGGAGCAAACAAACAGACACAATATATAGGCTACCCTGAATGTACTGTAAGTCACTTTGCATAAAAGCTTCTGCCAAATGCATAAGTGTAAATGTCAAATGAACAGGCCCTGCAGTCTAGTTTATCAGGATGATAAACTTTCATTTATGGTCCAATAAAGGTTTTACCTTTTTTAAATTTCTGTTTGTATTTTGTTTCTGTGAAACTGAAGCAAAAACATTTGAAGTTGCAACAACTATAAAGACATTTTATGAAAGACACGGAATGACAGAGTGAGAAAATAAGACAAGAAGTGGAGAGCGAGAGAGAGTGGGAAATTGAGGAAAGATGGAGAATGTTTTTCATGGCGTTAGTTTGTCACATCCTCTGATAACATTGATTTCTGCAGTGGTCCAATGGTGAGATGAAATCATATTTTGAAGCTCAGCAATGGAAATCAGCCACTTTTCCTTGTATATCCTCTACTACTCCTTTGACCCTTCTACAGGGGCACCGTAAGGGGGGGAAGGTTAGGACGATTCTAAGGGCCCGACGATGGAGGGGGGCCCACCAAGGGGGAAACGCGATTTCTACCGAGGGGGACCCCCCCGGAACGCGATTTAAGCTGCGGACCCGTGGTCACACTAGACTTTTCGTTCCACTGACTTCCATTCATACGCATGCGAATGCGTCAGACCGGAAACGCAAGCCCGTGCGAAGATATTTCGCATTTCGCTGCGTAGCAAAGTTCAAGCTTGGTGAACTCTGGCGAACACTTCGCATCACGTGATACCATGTGACCAACGGCAGATCGATACGTCACAGCATGACCTCCTATCTGAATTAAAAGAACAAAGTAAAACTAGAATGTAGTAGAGTCTAAAACATTTTTTAGACTCTATTCACAAACGCTTCCACATTAGTCTCAGTGGTCACACTGCAACTTCCAGTCCAGCGCAGTGAATGAAATTGTGAGAAATTTGAGCACAAAATGAAATCTAGAGTAAGTCTCACACATCAGGACAAAGCAAGATTGATGCAATCCACCTTCACACTAAAGCTTCTGGAACAAATCATCACATTGTTGTGTTTTAATGTGCTTAAATATTATGATTAAGTTTCGTTTAAGTTATGTTTAAATTATGTTTATGTTAATAGTAGGCCTATAGATATACTTTATTATAATATAATATAATTAGTTGTGATAAACTGTTATTAGAAATATGACAGAAAATGTTTTATTGCTATGAGAAAATATGATGCCAGAAGCTTATGTGCATTGACTTGCATAATATTTTTTTTCCATACTATGGAAGTCAGTGGCAACTCTCAACTGTTTGGTTGCCCACATTCTTTACAGTATCTTCTTTTGTGCTCAGAAGAAAGAAACTCAGGTTTGTAAGAAGTGGAAGGTGAGTAAATTATGACAGAATTTTCATTTTTGG